ATTATTGGTTCTTAGGTAAGTTCCCATTATGATATAAGACGATACTGAAGCAGAGCCATATGGCAAAAATGAAGTTTGAAAAACTTCTATATGATGATGTTCATATATTGGAACAACAGAAGTAAATAACAGTAGTAATCATTCACAATGAAAATTTAGTAGCACTTGACAGAGGAAATATAGATATAATGAGCTTAGACAACTACTACTACACATCGGCAACAGTTTGTTACTAAAATCACCAATTACAGTGTAGCATACAGTGCAGACAAATGGGAAACAGAAAATCAGAAATGAGAACCTTTATTGGTTCTTGTGTCACAGTGATGTTCTAGAAAGGATCATCTGATGCCGTTTATGAAAGTTTTAGTAATCTCTCTCAACGAAAATTTAGTAGCAATTGACAGAGGAAATAGAGATACAATGAGCTTAGACAACTACCTCTTCTGCCTCCAATGGGACTCCAATGCAGTTAGTGATATAAGACAGAGAAACTTCCATATTGTAGAGAGATAACTCTGGATAAATATTTGACTTCCCATCTGAATATATCACTTCAACTGGTTCAATTTCAAACTTCTTTTTGCACAGTGCTGAAAATATAGTTACCTAATAAGATTAAAAGAAAATTCCAAAAATTAGGGATTACTATACATCACCAAATAAATTCTTCCACAACATAAAAATTTCTTACCATAGTATTCAAGACAATATTTGCCTTCGTCAGATCAGTTGCAGTGCATTCAATAAACACATTCTTTGTCTTCAAAGTAATAGCCGAATGTGCACCATTGATAATTGGTGGTAAAGACAAAACAGTTCTGCAGCAAGGAGCTCAACTTATTTCAAGATATGGTATTTTTTATGTTTAGAGAAGTTCTCAATAATAACAAAGAATCAGGCAATTCCTTTTCTTCAAAAAATAATAATAATAATAATAATAATAAAATCGGAAAATTATAACGAGTTGTCAGCTTGTAAAACCATTGAAATTGCTTGGTCCAAAAGGTACAAAATAAATAGATGTAAAAATAACTTAAACTTCAATTTGTCAACAAAAGAAAGAAATTTAACTACAAAGTTTCCAAGAAGCTAATGACAAACTATAAAATGCACGTGTTTATTGGTAAGAACAAGTAACCCAACCAATTAAGTTCTAGAAGATCTATAACTAGTTCAAACACAAGAAAATTTTGCGGTAGTATACCTGTTGCGATCAAACAAAACGGGAAATACAGGTGATTTTTCTATTATGTGCAAGAACTTCTTCAGCTTCAAATCTGACTGCAAATGAGCATGGAAAAACATGGATCAAAATATTTCGACATCAAGTTCAGAAACAAGAAATCTAATAAACATCATACCAACATACATCCACTAGAAGGACTAAATATCAGAGAGAAAATAGATATATTTTCATTAAGGCACTTACTTTATAGTACTCCATTAGCTCGTCAGCTCTGAAACTTTTTGTCTGCATCACATAACAAGATAAGAAAAGTTCATTTCAAACAACATTAAAATACCATATTCTAAACCAGGTCAATGATTAAGGAAGTAAAATATATAAGAACATATCTCTTTTGTGGAAGAATCTTATTTCTGCTTTTTTGTGGTCCATATGGAATGAAAGAAACCATAGGACCTTCAAATAAAAGGAGATTACTTACAGAAATTTTATTGATAATGTTCTTTATCTTGCCTATTCTTGGTGTAAATTGAATTCTCTCTTCTCCTCCTATTCTAGGTCCTCTCTTTTGTCCAATTGGAGATGTTTATTGTAACTCTTTTGGATCAGGATCTCTCTTTCCCCTTCTTTTGTAATTTCATACCTCAACGAAATTGTTTCTTATCCAAAAAAAATAAAAATGAAATGGTTCAAGGAGAGACTAACAAAGAAGAAATCATGTCAACTAAGGTTATTTCAGAACCACTTCTATAAGGGTCCAAAAGAATTTCCAAATAGGGAAACATATCCACACAGCAGGTAGATATTCTATTCAATTCAATCACGGAAGTAAGACCAAAAAAAAAAAAAAAAAAAAAAATAAAAAGGCAACAAGAAAGCAAGACAAATCAGTTCACATAAAAGATCTTGATGGGAAATCTGAATACTCCTGTTCCATCTCAACAACGGATAATAATAAGGAAAAACTTGTTCTAGGGACATTATAGTTTTTACCTGTTTCAGTGGCACAAAGTTTATGGCTGATGGTGGCAAAGCCTGAAAAAATGAGATGAAAGTGAGAATGGCAACATTAGGACACCGAATTCACCATAAATAAGTATCCACCAGAATTAAACGAGAGAGAGAGAGAGAGAGAGAGAGAGAATAAACCACAACTAAAACTGCAAAGATGACACAGAAACAATAAACAATTGTCAGAGAGTATAATCTATAGTATTGCACTACAGCAGCAGCCTTTTTTAGTATTTTATTATTGTCCCACAACAAACACTTCAAGGATGAAAGGACCAACTTCACAGATTAATTTTCCAGACACGTTACAGAAACCGAGGAACAATTGTGAATGGACACAGACGGTGTCTCTACCATCAATCCAATGCAACACAGCACATTCAACTAGACCCACTAATAGAAACAGAATATATACATTCTCCCAAGAATATGAGCACAAGGAAAGCCCACCTCATAGGTGAAAGGGCCTTCAAGTGTATCCAGGTCATGAGTTCCGATGGCAACAAGAGTTCTCCGTCTAAAACAAATGAAACAAAATTCTTGAGAGAACTCTTAGAGTGAAAACTAAAATAAAATGAGAAAAAGACGAAGAATAGAAAGTAAAATCTAAAAATGAGGCCTAGCAAAAAGAATATAGTCAACAAAGGAATTGCTCATCCACCAAAGAATAACTACGACTTGATCACACAATTAATTCATTGCTACATACTTGGACTGCATATCCTATATCCTTATGGAATCTCTAGAGTAAAAAAAAATATCCAACTTATAAGTTGCGAGTCTGTAGCTTTACAACCTCTGTGCCTGATTGGAAATTAGAACGATGCACAAAATAAGAGAAAATCACGCTGCATATGGCACATATAGCTAAGATCCAAACTTACCGACATATATTCTGATGAAGTTTGTCTTGCAGATCAATAAAGCTATTATAACTTGCTTCATCAAAAGTTATGTCTCTCAAAACAGCACAAACCACGTAAGGGCGAACCAAAGAAGTCTGTGAAGTTGAAAGTTTCAGACCAATAGAAATAATTTGAAATTTATCAGTAGTAATATAAATTACACATTCAAATGGAAACTATACCTCCGGGTTTACATGCATTTTATGCATAGATTCCTTGCTGATATTGGATAATTTATATCTGGGTGTCTCTTCTTGCTTATTAAAAATGCGCAGTGCTTGGGCAAGCCCTTCAAGACAGAGTAAATCGTATCTACAAAACCATAAAGTATATTTACCAGCTATATCGCAGATGGCTACAATTACAGCGTTAAACTAGTTTTATCCAATGATATTTACAACGTTGGTTTTGGTTTTTGGGGAAAAAAAAAATTTTAATTTAAAAAGAACCGAATGCAGGAAAATTTACAAACAGATAACATATCTTCTTTTAGAAGAAAATAACATCAATTAGATGTGTCACAAACTCAATACAAGATTAACAAAGAACTATGCCTAGCAGCACCCTCAAAGACACGCACACGAAGAAGGAAGAGGAAAAACAATCTGTATTGAATCTTAACAGAGCCACCAACAGCAAATTACGAAGAAATGTACCTGTTAGCGGGGACCTCGATCTTGTAGATGACTTCTTCATCTTCATCCGCTTCTTCTTCCAAATGCTTCTCTTTCCTCATGATCGCCTTCTCTGTCGTCTATACAATCAACAAGCCAATGTAAAAAGAAAATGCCCATCCAAATCATAGTTATGATCGATTAAACTCAACGAAAAACATCGGTAAGCTGATAACGCAAATAACGCAAGGTACTTACAACGTCATCAAGCTCAATCCCAAACCTAAAGCACAGCTCTTCAAACTCTTCCTGAGCTAAGAAATGAAAATGAAACCAAAAAAAAAAAAAAAAACTAACAGAATGCAATAGCATCATTGAATAACGTGACATAGGAAAACACTGCAATCTCACAGTAAGTTCTTCCGAGGGCAGCAAATAGGCGATCTCTTCCGACGCTTACGGTCGGCATGGTTGACTCTTCAGAATGTACGACGCTACACCAGCAGAAGCAAAAACACTGCGGTTGGCGGCTACGAAGATAAGTCTGCCGGTCGCGCCAACTGTTCAACAAACAAACTGGCTCGTGGCTCCAGATATCGCACTACTGGGCTAATGGGCCCATTTTTTTCGAGTCCAACGAAACGGGCAGTGCCAGCCCAGCCCATTAAATTTGTTTTCTAATTGTTGTTTCGTACTATAAAGTTTTGTACAATATTTTGTCTACTTGTTACAACTTCGTTGAAAACATTATAGTAAATAATAAAAGAAATAAATTAATATGTGAAAGTAGTGTTAATAAGGTTAGTCGATTATTAAAATATTTGTTCATTCATTCATTAAAGAGAATAACGAAACATTAAGGGTGTGGAAACCTCTAGAAGGGAAAATCCAAACATGACTATCTGTTATCGGTGAATTTGAGGTGTTACAAATGATATTAGAGCCAGACACTGAGCAGTGTGTCAGCAATGACATTAGGCCTCCAAGGGAGGTGAGTTGTGAAATCCCATATCGGTTGAAGAATAGAACGAAACATTCTACTCCAACCAACGTAAAAATCTCTCCCCATCATACGTGTTTTAAAACCTCTCCCACAATATCGGCTAGCTGTTACCATTAGTAAGATTGATAACTATAGTTAAAATAACTTATTTATTAATTTAAATATTTTTTCGGTGTCGATATTCTATCGATATATCAACATCAATATTTTAATCTTATTTACTGAGCATTTAGAACACCAACGATGGAATCTATGTCACAGAACAGAATTTGCCGCCATTTTCAAACCAACTGGGGGTGATCACATTGAATCATTTCTGAGAATTCAGGCTCTTGAACAAAAGTAAGCCTAAACTACCAACTGCAAGTGTTAGTAAAACTGGGGTGCTGATGGATTCAAAATCAGCAATCCTCCACCTCCCATCCTTATCAGCTTTCCCCCGGTGAATCTTCTCGCTCGAGCGCTCTCGGAGAAGATTGCTCAAATTGTCAACTTGGAGGATGATTTGGCGCTGCCCCCGTGCTATGTTTTGTATCTGGAAAGCACAAATATCATACTAAAAATGCATGAAACTTAAAACCAAAGAAGAAAAGAAGTGATATTCATCAAAATACCTCTTCCAGCAAGGGAGATTCCTTGGCCAATTGGGAGAATGATGAAGAACTAGACAGTAATGATCCGGTTAAGGCGCCGTTACTTAAACCAGATATGAAAATCGAAGTCGCTCCGGTACCGTTGTTGTTTGCATCAGATTGTGAAGCCAAGTTCTGCTGGCTAGCAGAAACTTTTCTAGTACAGATCTTGGAGTTCAGCTCTTCAATGCGAGTAGTGAACTCATCCATTCTCTCACTGAGGGTAGAAATTTGTTCTGAAAGCTGAGTAATAGCTCCCTGAAAGATTTCGAGATCGATTTCCTCTACTCGTTCAGAAATATTGTACTGGATACTTATCTATCCTTCGAATCAGAAGTTCTTACCAACACGTTCAACCATTTGGTTCATTTGAAGTTGTTTGTCAACATGTTCTAATGAATTATCAAATCACATTCAGATCCAGATTCCTACCTAAAAGGTATCACACTAAGACTAAAAAGCCTGGGACCGAAAGAGAAGTTATTGTTCGACGGTTCATAAGATTCATCATCTTCCTCCGCTATCCTATCTCGTCTGCTTTACGGGTAAATAAACCATGTGAATAAAGCTTTCTTGATGCAGAAAAACGTTTACCTGGTTAGAGACTCCTGCAGGGGAGTCTGGAGCCCTCACATCAAATCTCCTACTATTAACAGCAAGCTTTGTCAACTTTGACAAGGTCTTGTCCCTCCGATTAGATAATGATTGTGATAAGCCACTGGAAATGATATCAAATATGAAAAAGGATACAAAAATATGTAGGTTTCATAAGAATCCAAATGAACAATTAAAAATCTCTACTTTTCAGTGCTGCAACAATAAAGCCTTTTTTGTACATAACTGTAACGGCCCAAGCCCACCGCTAGTAGATATTGTCCTCTTTGGGTTTTTCCTTTCGGACTTCCGCTCAGCTTTTTAAAACGCATCAGGCTAGGGTCAAGTTTCCACACCCTTATAAGGGGTGTTTCGTTCTCCTCCCCAACAGATGTGGGATCTCACAATCTACCCCCTTCAGTGCCCAACGTCCTCGCTGGCACTTGTTCCTTTCTCCAATCGATGTGGGACCCCCACCAAATCCACCCCCGTTTGGGGCCCAGCGTCATTATCGACACACCACCTCGTGTCTACCCCTCTTCGGGGAACAGTCTCCTTGATGGCACATCGCCCAGTGTCTGGCTCTGATACAATTTGTAACGGATATTGTCCTCTTTGGACTTTTCCTTTCGAGCTTTCCCTCAAGGTTTTTAAAACGCATCTGGCTAGGGAGAGGTTTCCACACCCTTATAAATGGTGTTTCGTTCTCTTCTCCAACCGACGTGAGATCTCACAATAACTGATTCTACGTAGGCGATTATAACAACATTGATCAAACAGAGAATAATTTCACAGATCCAACAGTTTGAAAGTAGGATGATACCGGTTAAGGTACTTGTTTCTCCAATCTGCAGAAGCTCGGGAAAGTGCTTCCTTTGGACTCGAAAGTGAATCATCATGTATGCTGAGTTTGGTCTTTAAATCATCTGGCAAGGCCTACAAATAATCTCATTAGACTTACTGAACAGAAAACAATCTGCTTAATCTGTTGGGTTGTAAGTATCTTACTATAACATCATCAACAAGCTTCTCAAGCTGTATCTGTTCTATATAAGTTCGAGGGATATAGGAACCATCCAACCCCAACTCCTCAGCAATATATTTAACAAGCATCCGATCTTTTCCTTGCACCTTTGTCCACGTTCAGCAAGTTAGTAGTATGATAATATGAACCTGCTCAGTTTAAAAACAACATAATTTCTACACAAAATTTAGATATCATGTATGGGACGTCAATATCCAGGTGACTGAAAAAATGTGGCTAATGACAGGTCATCTTGCGCCCCACGTTTAATTATTCGGAAAAAACTAATTAAAATTGTGAAATCCCACATCGGTTGAAGAGAGGAACGAAACACTTTCCCTAGTAGACGCGTTTAACAAATCGTGAGGCTAACCACAATATGTAATGGGCCAAAGTAGACCATATTTGTTAGCGGTGGGCTTGGGCTATTACAAATGACAGAGTCAGATTCTAGGCGCCCAAGGAGGTGGATTGTGAGATCTCATATCGGTTGGAGAGAGAAATGAAGCATTCCTTATAAGGGTGTGGAAACCTCTCCCTAGTAGAAGCGTTTTAAAAACCGTGAGGCTAACGGCGATACGTAATGGACCAAAGCAAACAGTATCTGCTAGAGATGAGCTTAGGTTGTTACAAAAATCATATATTTGGAGGGGGGAATATTGCCTCGTGCTAATATATGTCATTCCTAGAAGTCCCTACATTATTAATCTATGAATGAAAGATGAACCGCATTGCAGAAAAAGGCAGACTATTAGTCCTAAAGTAGTATGGATAATGATTACAAGATGTACCTGAATATATTTACGGTTAAGTTGCTCCAACCAATCAATCTTTATACACACCCTATCATCAGAGAATATATGGCTGCTTCGTTTAAGAATGGTTGCAATTGTGTATCCGAGTGCCATAAGCCCTCCAAGAAGGCGTACACTAACTTCAAAAGTAATTCTAGGTGATATAATGAATGGAGTATCTGTAACCCACTCCTGCAGAAAAGGGGAGAGAAAATAATATATGTCCATACAAGCAGCCAATAGGTACCTATGTGATAAAATGAGATTAAAAGCTCTACCGAGACAACTATGTGGTATGTGCATTAAGACTCGAACATAGATGCAAAAACATGTTGAGGATTGTTGGAATGGAGTCCCGCATTATATAAGTTAGAGGATGGTCATGGGTTTATAATCAAGGAATACATCTCCATTATAAGCAAGGAATAATCTCCATTGGTATGAGGTCTTTTGGGGAAACTCAAAGCAAAGCCACGAGAGCTTATGCTCAAAGTAGACAATATCATACCATTGTGGAGGGTCGTGATTCCTAACAAAATACGCAAATATAGCTTGAAGGAACTCAGTTATATAGCGTTTGCTAAAGTGACCTCAAACATGAGACTGTATTTTCCATCCCTATTCCTCATCCTCAGATAGGATTGGCACACTTCAGGATCTTCACCAGGAGGTAGAAGATAAATGTCATAAGTTTCCTCAGTAAACTCCTTGTGATTTTCGGATACAACAGCCTTAATTTGTTCCACAGGTACTGCTTTCGTTGACTGTAACCAGAAAATGAACCCAGCTCATGTAGAGTAAAACTCTTATGATTTAGACGAAAACGAAGTAAAGTTGATGCAGTTAACCAAATTAACCTTAAGAATGTAAGTAGGATTTTGGAAACCAGTAAAGGGATTGAATTTGTTGATAATTCTTATATGGGCAGTCTGAAGATCTGGCTCAATAAAAGCTTTATACATCGGATAAACCTACATCCAAAAAAATTTATATGAACCAACAACAACATTTTATTACATGTGAATGGTAACAGAACCAAACATTTGAGAAATACAGCTAAAAGAAAGGACACACCGTTTCAGAAACTTGATGTATTATTTCTTCTGGCTCTTGGCCAACTCGCTGAATATCACGCAGTACTCGTTTGACTAAGTCAAAATGAACACCGCCAGTAATTGATACACGAAGATCTAGCAATGGACGTAATTTCTCACTTAAAGCATAGATACCCTCAATAATGACGATTCGTGACATGGGGACTTCAAGAGTCCTGTTAGTAGCACTTAAAAGTAAGAACGTTAAAAGGTAAAAGATAAAAAAATGTTCTATTAGTGTAAGCACTAACAGAAAATGGAATACTAGATTCACAATCCTTTGAGACAGAAGCTATAACTTTGAAAAGATTAATGTAAGACGTAAGCATTTAAGCCTCTAAATGAAGCCAAAATTGACCAACATTACCTATAACCCGCGCGACTGCTAGTCTTGAAATCATAAATAGGAACCTGGACAGATTTTCCTTCTCTTAAACCATGAATATTTTCCAGCAATGTATCATAATCTGTTAAGCGTGGATCTGGTGAAAAGGGGGTCATTAGATATTTCCACTGACTTCAATTGCAAGAAATAATTGGAATGCATACTTTCTAAAAGGAAAACAGAAAGAGCATACTTGAAGGATCACTATATAGGAGTATTAAGAATGAAAGTTGTTTATTGTATTCATTCTGTAGATGGCAATGGAAAATATACATAGCCATGACTGCCTAAGAGAAGAAATATTAGATGCAGGCCAAAAAACTTACGAGAAGCTTGTGGCTCCATGATTTTGTAGATGGCAATGGAAATTATAACTTTCCCTGCCACCTCACTTTAGAGAACAGAAAAACAAAGCAATCGTAAAAGCCTGTGGAAGTATGAAGTACTGGAGGGCTCCGAACCAGTGTCACTGTAGCAGTTCAAATCCACTGCTAGTAGATATTGTTTTCTTTGAGCTTTCCTTTTCAAGTTTCCTCTCAAGGTTTTAAAACTTGTCTTGTCTGCTAGGGAGAGGTTTCCACAACCTTATAAGGAATGTTTCGTTCCCCTCTCCAACTGATGTGGAATCAGAGCAAAAAGTATGAAGTAATGGAGGGCTCCGAACCAGTGTCACAAAATTGTAAACCATAGGTATATAACATATAGCGCTCTCGTATTGTTAATATTTTTACCAAAATTGAAATAATGAATGGTCAGTAGAACGAAACAATACCATCAAAGTTGTCATCAATGATACGACTGGAATCATTGTAGTTATCCATCGTGATAACAGCGATGCTGGGTATAAAGTTAAGCACCTTCTCAGTAAACACAGTCTTCCCAGCTCCAGAGGGCCCTGCCACTCCAACTAGAATTATCCCATCATTCTTCTGAGACAACAATTGGCACGCACGGATTACAATGAAGAAACCTTTCTCAAATGAAAGAGGATCTTCAATTGGAAGAATCTCATATCTATTCGAGTCCTTCTTCTTAACTAACTGGACTTGATCTCGCAATAGTCCAGAACGTCTCCGAGATGATTCAATGCTAGAAGACGTATCTTGAGCCATTTAGATGTTTTTTCCTGTTTGATGCAGAACGATCAAGCGCATAAGATAGAGCTATATGCACTTCTAAAACCAGAAGAACCAATTCAACAAAACTTCCATTTTGACCAAGAATTAATACATCTTTCCGAACAAAGAGTATAAAGAGTCCTAAATTTGACACATAAGAAGAGAATAACTACACGGCCTTGAAAATCTACACATACCCAGAACACAAACTTAGCAGAAGTATGAATCAAAATCCAAACAAAACAACATAGTAGACACAGATTAGCACAAATTTAACCCACAAAAGAGAAACAAAAGAGCAAGCAAACCTTCTGGAAGAAAGAAAAAGAACTATTCTCAGTATAATAGTCGGTGCTCTTGAATTTCTGATGCTGCTGCCTGGTTTCTGAAGATCGAACGAATGGCTGAGCACTAATTATTGGGTTTTCTCAAGTGGGGTCTTTTTCTTTTCGTAAATGGGTTTTCCTTTTTCATGAACATGAATGGCGGGACGTCTGAATGAGAGGAAGTGTGGTCCGATTCCTTGAACTAATGGGTCTCAAGGAGCATGAGCAACAATACGAACTAGGTGGTTAAAAAGAAACGAATAGATTAAATCAATAAAAGAGGGTACGATGATAAGATTGAGAAGCATAATATCACCGCGATCAGCTGAACAAAAGGAGGCCAGGTGGAAAAAGTTGCAAACGAATTCAATTCGTTGCTGTAAGTGATTCGAACAGACTTTTCCCCGCTCATTGAGTGTGGAAGGGGCTTTTTCTTTAGCCCCATGTGCGAGAGGCCGTGGCAATGCAATTGCCAAATGCAGGTAAAAAATCGAAGGATTGAAGAGGGAAACATTACCCAACTTTCACAGTGGCTGGAAATTGAAACGGGAGATTGCCACTTCTTATGGTGGAGTAAAATGACAGCTTGGATGGAATCAAATGAAAATCTACAACGATGAACAGTTTGGATGCTTGGCGCGAGCCTATCATCAAACAGGCGGTGTGGGCTGCTACAGAGATGAAAAATCAACCTAATCGATCACATCATACTCAAAAAGATTACCAAACTTTTGCCCTCCACTGTTGGAGACCGTGCAAGCCCTCAATTAGCTTTCACTCGCAGCTGGGGTCACGATCATCCTTTTTAGCCATTTAGAACATCATTATACTCAGATAGTTATAGACAGTAAGCAATTGTTGTTATTTTTTTTAATTTGCATCACATATAACACCAATTTTAATCTCGAGCATACGCCAGAATTGAAAACTCACTTTTTTGCTGAGAAGTGAATGCAGCATAGTTGCAAGTCAATTGTCATAAAAAATGTGACGATGACAAGTGGCGTTCCCTTAAAGAAACACAGTTTGACTTATAAAAATCTTTCTAAACTCGGTAATTTATAAAATAAAAATAAAAAATCACATGGTTTAATTCACGAATTAACTATTAAATAATCTTATCAAAATTCACAAATTTAAACATTAAGATATATTCTTTTAATTCTGGTCAATTTTGCATGTACTCATTTTTATAAAATAATTACATTTTCTTTTTAACTCATGAGAGGGTAAAAAAATGTAACGCAGTTGATGGTTAATTTTCTTGTAAACTCTTGCGGGTGAGAGATTTTTACTCCTTTAATTTAATAGACTTAAAGTAAATTTTCCTTCTTTATTTTTTCAGTTTTTACTACTTAGTACTGCTTTTAACAGTGCGGTTAAAATTGAATAAGTCAATGCTCCAGCTATTTTTTTAAACAAATAAATTTATAAAGTTTTCGGAAAATAATGAATATACATGTGTATATATATATATATATATATGAAATTGTCGAGTTATTTAAAATATTCATTATATAAATATATGAAATTGTGGATTTATATAATATTAATATGTTCATATATAAATATATGGAATTGTACGCCAACAAATTAATAGTAAGGATATATTTTTTTTAATGTTTAACGTATTAGTCCATAAATATTTTGTATTTTAATAATTTAGCCTTGTAAATACGTTATTGTAGTTAATTAGTAACTGCCATTAAGAATATATAATAAATTAGAAGTCAGCTGACCCAGATATGGGTGTCAGCTCAAATCACAAAACTTCGTTTCTCATGATTTCAGGTGTTTCAGATCTCAGTTCGGAAATCTGATTTGACATTTCTCGATTCAGAGGCGGAGTTCGTGGAGTCGGTGAGATCTGTACATTTTCTTGAAGCTCAGATTGAAGAAGAAATGGGCTGCACATTTTCTGGATTGAATGCTTTCTACGATGCCGCGAATAGCGGTGGGGATGTGTGGATCAATGAGAACAGGTTTAGAATCGTAAGGCAGCTCGGTGAAGGTGGCTTTGCTTATGTTTTCCTCGTCAAGGAGGTGCTCGCTGATTCATCTTCAGACTCTGTCCGCGGTGGTTTGCGCAAGAAATTCAAGGACTCCGCTCATCTATCTGGTTTCAACTTTCTCTCCCTCTCACGCGCACACATTATTTGTTTCTTATTTTTTGTTGTGCTGACTGTTTACGAACTTCTTGATCCGCGAAATTTGATATATTGCATCTTCATCGATAGGTTCATTCCGAGCGAAACAATCTAGTTATGTGGTTTTATGATCTTGGCCGATTTGCGTTTGAATCTGAATCTATGTCAATGGTTTTTCTTAATCCAGCATGGCATTCGCACGGCCGTTTCGGTAGTTTTCCAGCTGATCTGAATGTATAACGAAGATTTCATTTTGCTGTAGCCTAATTAATCAAAAAAACGAAGTTGTTCATACGACTCGTCAATTTAAGTTTCGAAATGTAAATTAAGCTTAAGTTGTGATTCGAATTTCATTTTTTTTTTTCAATCTTCAAAGAGTTTTAGGCTGCTATGCCCTCTGCTACATTCATTTGTGCAAGCACGTATGTTTTTGTATCGAATACGATGCAGCGGCTACTTACTTTTGACTAAGAAATTTGGGTTTGCTGCTCTGTCTCTCTTCTTTGATAGTTTATTAAATTTGGTATCTGTAGTGATGTTTTTAATATATTTAGTCTTACAGGTATTTACAATGACTAATTACTTGCTCTCTCGCTTGTTTCGGATGTGGATGCTTCATCTATGAATATCTTCATAATTGGGTTCTGCTGCGATCTCTTCATAATTAATTTATAGATAATCATGTCATTCATTTTTGGGTTTTACCTCCATCTTTTTCTAACGGACATAATATGTGAGATCCCACATCGATTGGAGAGGGGAACGGAGCATCCTTATAAAGGTGTGGAAACCTCTCCATAGTAGACGCGTTTTAAAACCATGAGCTTGACGGCGATACATAATGGACTAAAGTAGACAATATCTGCGAGTGGTGGGCTAGGACTAGGGCTGTTACATAATATTTTATATTTGCAATCATTCTTCGACCAAGATTGAAAGATTTGTTTCTTCCTGGATAGAAGTGTTATAATGTGCAAAAATTTGTTTCAGAGTGCCATTCTAATGAGAATACATTTTCTATTTCCAGGCTAGTCAACCAACTAAAACCAGCTTTTGTTGCTTTATTTGCACAGATGATGGTTCATACGCATTGAAAAAGGTGCTCATTCAGAATAATGAACAGCTGGAATTGGTGAAAGAGGAGATCCGTGTTTCATCTCTGTTTAGTCATCCCAATCTTCTTCCTCTTCTCGATCATGCTATAATAGCTACTAAGGTGATTGTCAAGGCCCTAGACCTAATAAAAAAGTTTATTTGATGAGAAAAGCAGTAAAATCCTTGTGTGATCAACCTTACCTCTTTTTCTCCTCTTAAAGCGAATTGCATGTGAACATACAATTCCAATTTCCTTGCATACATTGAGAATATTGTTTGGAATAATTGTTGTCTCGAAAGCATTTACTGACTTAAAAATGAAATTTATCCTCGGTGTACACTTTTTACCTTTTTAGTAAAATTTGGGTTCATGGTTCTGTCTCCTTTTTAGTAAAATTTAGTAAAATTTATCCTCGGTGTACACTTTTTACCTTTTTACCTTAAAATTTATCCTCCATGGTGATGTACACTATGTGTGGTTATCTCTGCTATTTTATGTCTTCCTCTCAGTATATCCTTATATGTTTTCATTTATATTTACCATTTTTGTATCAATGGTTAGCCAACTCAAGAACGATCTTGGCACCATGAAGCGTACTTACTATTTCCAGTACATTTGGATGGAACATTATTGGACAATGCGGAAACCATGAAAGCAAAAAAGGAATTCTTCTCAACTTCAGATGTTTTACAAATATTTCGACAGGTAACTTGGAGTTTGAAACTTCAAATAATTTATCTTCTCTTTTAACATTTTTAGGGATTGTTTTTGTTGCATCATAAATTCTATAATGTTGTTCTTGTCATGGTGTTCAACCGTCCTCTGCCGGATATTTTAAAAGGTCCTAATCTATTTGAATTTTCCATTGGCCTCTTCTACTTCTTCCCCCTTCTTTAAACACTAAGAGATTATGGTATCATGCATGCTTTGGAAAGTCCTTTTTTCTTACGGATTGAATTAATTGAACACAGCTATGTGCGGGTCTCAAGCACATGCACAATTTTGATCCCCCATATGCACACAATGACATCAAACCTGGTAATGTTCTCATAACATATAGAAAGGGCCAGCCTCCTCTTGCTATATTGATGGATTTCGGAAGTGCTCGACCTGCAAGGAGGCATATTAGCTCTCGTTCAGAAGCACTGCAGTTACAGGTTACCTCTATCGCAGTTCTTTCTTCAAGTCCACTACAGTTAAACCATATCAGTTTGGACTTCTGCCACATGAAACTTTCCAGATAAATGCGAACTTTTTGCACTTCACTCTTAAGTTAGATAAAAATATACATGAGCTGATAATTATCATAATTTGCTGTGTAGGAATGGGCAGCCGAACACTGTTCTGCTCCTTTCCGAGCTCCTGAGTTGTGGGATTGTGCAAGCTATGCAAATGTTGACGAAAGAACTGATATCTGGTCATTAGGATGCACTCTATATGCAATAATGTAAGCACCAATTTTTTACCCTGAAGTTGTGATTATTTTATGGATTTTGGAATTGTATGCACGTGCCACAACTTATGTAAATACCTCCCATGCATGCTGCAATGCTGGAATTCCTGTCTACTCGTCAACCCCTCCTAGTTTTGCTCCCTTTTTCTTTCTTTCTGTTATTTACACTAGAATAAATGTGGAGATGGCAGTTAGGTCAACTGAGAAAACTGTAAATCATGGATATAAGTGCTTTAGAATGATTCTTTTTATTTTTTTTTTTTGAGAATGAGTTCGTATTTTTTCTGCCATGATTGCCTATCAATCTCTCTCCGATTTTTTCCTTTTAATATCTATGATATTTTAGATTAGATGGTGACTTCTGTGAATATATTCAACAAGTTATAAGAAAATTTTGTCGTCGCTAATAGACTGTACGTCTGTTTATCATAGGTATGGTGTATCTCCATTTGAATACGTGCTTGGCGAATCTGGAGGAAGCTTACAGTTAGCGATCATAAATGTACAGATCAAGTGGCCGGCTGGGCCAAGTCCTCAATATCCCGATGCTCTTCATCAGTTTGTGAAGTGGATGCTTCAGCCACAGGCTGCAGTCCGTCCGCGCATTGATGATATTGTAATTCATGTTGACAAGCTTATCTCAAAGTTCAACTGAGACATAATGGAAATGAGGCAAACATCGGATCCTTATTCTCGTTGGGAGTTAAATTACATTGAGCTACCTGGCTTTTCATGGCTGACAACTGGCATTACTTGCTGTGGAAATAAAGCAGGAGCTGTTCCTATTCCAATGTTATACAGTTAATCGTCATAGTATAGGCAATTGCTCA